GTTCAACCATGGCAAATTCAAATAGAGTATGTATTCAATGTTTCACCGGTATAATCCTCGATAAATCCACCATTGTGACATTATCCAAACAAAGTATCTTAAAAAGATTTCTTATTGGCGGTTATTATAAATGCCTCCCACTCCGCATCCTATATGACGATTGTGTGTTTGTTTGACTCTATAGGTGGTTTCCAAACAATTACAACCAATCTCCAAAAGACACGGCAGCTACGTTGATGTCAAATTCAATGAAAGATAATGAAATTCTTTCGTTTAAATAATACCAACACGGCCGGGTGACGGAACTTGCAATCGACTTAAGCTTATCCCTAGGAGTACGTTCAAGGATCAAAGAGATTATGGCTGTATGAGCCGCTGTATCCTCATAAAAAGGTTATGATTTTGTCAGGATCAAAGAAGAAATGTTCTTAGTTAAAATTTTTCTGTGTCCGCTACTTGGACCTATTCGCTAATGAACACAATTTTGATCTAGACAGATCTAGACAACATTTCACCACAACTTGAAAGAGCATCACAAAATTAGTACTATTTCGAAGTTTCGTTGCGAAATGTTGTAAAATGCGGATAATATAGCCCTGCGATGCTTGCCGTTTTTCAGTCATTTTGTATTACGCACGGGAAATTGATACCGCTTTCTAATTAATATAAACTCTAAACCTTAATTCTTAAATCTTAAACTCTAAGCGTGCAAAGCACAACTTGGGAATATCATTTAATTAATCATGCAGTTTAGAAATGGCATCATATATGGGGCCCATTTCGTAGAGACATGCATGATAAATCATAAATATATCCTTGCGAGAACAATTCATTCACAAATAGCGGCAATATTCAACTACTAAGCTTGAAACTGTGCTCCCATTAAGCTTTGCGCGCTTAGAGTTTAAGGTTTACCCTTTTTCAATTGGCTTTATATTTGAGAAATAATCAAAATCCTCCGACATCGCGCTGGTGATGTTATCATGTTTGGTGCGAACCACTTGGCTATACATCGAACAATCTCTAATTCTCTATACAATATTCTTTCGCAGGTGTTTTGTACGACCTAATGCCCTTCTCAAGCATATGCTGTATTCAAAGCAAGGACAGGTCGATTTTCATCATTATCATAAGGCATGGATAATCCATGCATGCATTTTTAGTCCAAGACACAAACACGCAAACAAGGCTGCAAACAAGGCCGGTCAAAACTCAAAAGGTACTCAAAAGTCAGTTAGTTAAAACGGGTAGCAGATATACTAGCTGTTTTGTTCAAAATGAAACTGCAAACTGCAGACATGATTGTTGGCTATATTAGCCAATCAGAAGCCTCAAAGTATGTCCCAAATATATGCATGTGTGCATGGGAATCTATATTATAGGTGGTCGGTCGTTCCACAAACCTGGCCGTATTTTTTCGTCCCGTTAACCATGTACCAGTATTTTCTTCGTGAAAACCGTAATCAACATTTATCTTATACAGTTATCGTTTATCGTCTAGGGATGTCGAACGACGAGAGGGCAAAGAGTACAGATTTTCGTTGAGAAGCACGTGCCGGCTCAGTGCAGTTGGCGGTGAGATCTCTGATGCCGTGAAAGAGTTTTGTACCTGAATGGGAACTTAAATGTTATACATTTACCTGTTATAATTACCTTTCATTGCATTTATCAAGTATCTTGAAATTCGTAGAAAATAATGAGGTTTTACCCCAGAAAATTAATTACCAGAAATTAGCGACAAAATTGATCACAGCTGCATATGTTAATTTGCATATGAACCATACATAATGGCCCTCAATTTATAACAGATAATACATAGGGTAAATATATGAACTGGCTAAATTATGGCAACTCAAGATCTCGGCACTGTTTGCCGACCTCTTCACAGCTTCTTCATGAATAAAGCAGTGATTTTCTAAAGTTTTGGTAGCACAGTTTATTCATTTTACTGTATTTCTCCAAGTTCCAATTAGTGTTCAAGATAATCAACTCAGTTTAATCGACTTTGTTTGGTTCAACTGCCGTAGGATTTACTTTGAGATTTAAAACTGTTTGAGGAAGCAATCAAGAGTTTAGAGCGGGATAATTTATATTACGTATATGAAAGAATATATCACGCTAGGTGTTTTACACCCCAATTCAATAGCCTAACTAAATCCGACTCAAAATGTGCATGTACAAGATACTGTTGTAGTTTTAAACTTTCTGGTTAATAGAGACCCAAGCAATCAAGCATGGATAAAAGTGTGAGTATGCAACAAATTATTACTGATTTGGCCGCCCATAGAAATACCTGATCAGAATAAATATATGCTACCGAAACTTCGAAATTGATCACGCCCCCACATGCACGTACATACAGTTTTAGGCCTACTCTGGGGCGGTAAATCGCCTTAAATCGCCTAAAATCGCCCAAAATCGCATTAAATCGCGGGTTAAAATGGTCAAATTTCTCTTAAATCGCCTAAAATCGCTTTAAATCGCCTAAAATCGCTTTAAATCGCTTAAAATCATGGGCGCACTGGGTGGGGGACGGGGCGACCGCCCCCCCCCAGTTTCTGGCTGGGCAGTCGCCCCCTGGCTTTGTTGGGCAAACAATGCCAGCCGGGAAATATTCGCTTCACTGTCTGGCAATATTGGTTTATTATAGAAATAAATGGGACAAATCCTTTCAATTTTGTGGGAAATTCTGTCAATTATGTGGGAAATATGCTATCCAATAGGAATTTTTTGTAATCACTTCTCGCCCCCCCCCCAATCACTTCTTTCCAACCCCCTAATATTTTCCTTCCCGTACGCCCATGCTTAAAATCGCATTAACTCGCCAACATGCATGCTGTTTGATACATTCAGTCAATAATGTACTCAAGTTTATCAATTGCTGCTATTTTGCTGGCAAATCACGTATAATCCAGGTGTTTTGCAATCAAAAGTAATGCAACATGGATAAATCAAATAAGTGGATTAGGCTGACAGTATTTAGTCACTCATTAGGCTCCGGTCGTTAATAAAAACAGAGCCTTTTTCTGCTTTATGCAGACTTTACAATAATTAGGCAATTCTGGGATATGAAAGACCCATAGATTCCATTACACTACCAGCAACAAAATTGAGTTACTGGTTAATTTCATTATTGGTGTAAAATGTGGAGGCTGGGCTACAATTTATATGGACTATGGTGGCTGGGCTACAAATTAATCTATAATATACATGGCCTCTCAAAGCCTAATTGCTGTTAGAACAACAGTAGGAGACTATGATAATGAGAGTCAATGAGTACGAGTATATAATAAGGTCATCCTGCAATTTATGCACTGTTGCATGTAGATCGAGCACTGCATTGTATACAATGGTTGTACTTCGACATGTGCATGGTTATACTCTAGCTCCTAGTTATAATTATATTGGCTATCATACGAAAAACATACGTGAGGTTTAATATGAGCGAGATTTGCAAGTTTTGCAACTCTCATCTATTAAATTTTCCAGATCTGTATATAAAATAAACAGTAAAACAATTATTACATCGTACATACCATACAATCTTGCAGAACAAATTATTAGGTAAAAGACTTAAAACCACGATGTAGTGCGCCGTATCATTTTGTTTACACGCGTAAAAATCATCATGTTGATGCAAGTTGTTCAAAACAGGAGCGAACAATGTTGTGCTGCACCCCGTGAACAATATTGTTAACAAGTTGTTGAACCATCAATATTGTTGCAACTTGTTGACAATCATGTTAACAAGTTGCAACAGTATTGATGGTTGAACAACTTGTTAACAATATTGTTCACGGGGTGCAGCACAACATTGTTCGCTCCTGTTTTGAACAACGCCGAACAACATGATCAATTTTTACCCGTGTAGTATTTTTTTTTAATAATTTAGAATTCCGACCATTTATATGCGATGTACTTCATGTAAATTAAACTTTACGGCATTACGCCGACAGTTTCCGAATGCGTGACAATATATACTGTTTCAAACTGTTTGTGGATATAGATATCAAACATAATTTTATAACACATGTTTGTTGAAACAGTTTAAATTATGCAAGCTAAATAAAGAAGTGTTGACAAGATACAAAACAAGACAATTTCACTTACAAGGGTGACAAGGTAATTTATAGGAATATAGCTTATTGTAACTGTATAAATATATTGTGCGTTTCTACTCCCTGTGGGCTATGGTTCTTTTGGAAATCAAATATCTATTATATTTTGCAATTAATAATATTAACGTTTAGCCTAAGATATGTGTAGTTTAGTTATAGGTTGGTATTTTGCAATTATGTACCGTACATGCCCCTTAAGTAGAGTATATTTATTAACTGTTTACAATATTTGTGGTATATAATGTAGCCATGAATGCATGACCACATGACCCCACAAGATGAACTCCAATGGCTTCTAAATAAGACAATGGATGAAAAGTTCACGAATCAATATTGAGCTTTATATATGATTCGGATTAAATACAATATATTAACCTAGCTTTATATAAAATGTACATACATGTTTTAATAATTGTATTTTGCTTCATACAATGCATATGTGTCAATGTGTGTGAAAACATTACATTATTCAGCTCACTCCCCTTTGGGGCTTTTCAGTCACCGCTTACATAAAGTATTAGGGTTACTTATGTTAGTCTAGACTATATATCTTTATAACAATGAGAATATGATATCACTTTTCTAACTGTTTTTATTCTAACCCACCCTGCCATATTTTGCCTTGTGGGAGAAAACCGGAGAAAAATATAAAATTCAATTACCTTGAAAAAACAGGTCTAAATTGCAATCCCTAAAATTTAGAATTTTCTCTTAAATCGCATTAAATCGCCTAAAATCGCTTTAAATCGCAGTGCTTCAAAGTCCCAGTTTTTCCTTAAATCGCCCAAAATCGCCCAAAATCGCATTATATCGCAGCGATTTAAGGCGATTTACCGCCCCAGAGTAGGCCTTGCAACTGCAGCAAAAATACCAAGTGAAGATATGTCTGGTTTGGAACCAATAGTATTTTTAGCAAAGGGTGCGAAAGTGATGCTGACCATGAATTTGTGGTCTTGTGTCGGTCTCTGTAATGGTGCGACTGGAATAGTTGTGGATTTTATTTTTAAGGAAAATCGTCAGCCACCAGACTTACCTGTTGCTGTAATGGTTGAATTTGAGAACTATAAAGGTCCATCATTTGATGAAAGCAGACCATCATGTGTTACAATATGTCCAATAACAGTCTCTTCACAAAGTGGTATGCATGATAGGCAACAGTTATACCTCTTAGACTTGCGTGGGCTTTAACAATTCACAAAAGCCAAGGTCTAACACTACAAAGTGCTTGGATAGATATTGGAAATACTGAACGAACTGCAGGAGTGTCTTATGTGACAATTAGTAAAGTAAAAACATCATCCTGTGTGATAGAACCCATGACATTTGAACGATTGAAGAGCTTAAAATCATCAGCTAATTTACAGTTTAGACTTGACGAAGAAAGGAAATTAGATGATCTAGCAGAGAGTACATACCATACATTGTCATCCAAGCATTCTGGGTAAAAATTGATACTATGCGATTTCCAGTATACATGTATATAATATTGTAGTTATATTTGTATAGTTATTTTAATAGTTATATTTATAGAGCCCTTCTAACCCATACATGCATCTTTTAATTTAATAAAAATGGTAAGTATCTAATTTTAACTAAATCATACTCTGTCTATAGTTTTTTGTGTGTATTAATCTGTATTTATTTTATTTATTTTTAGGCTTATATAGTGATTCTTTACATTGGACCATTGTGGAGTTTCGTTTCATACAACAATGACATATAATTTGTCTTTCCGTCATGAACTTACAGTACAACTCACAAGACCTCGACATATTGTTTCAATTTAAAATGGCATGGTTATGTTCATATGATAACAGTACAAATTGTATATATATATAATGCTGTGATTGAGAATTGTGAAGTGTATTTGGAGGATATGATGTCAACAGTTTGATTTGTTTCCATGGACATTGGACAATAAATTGTATTGAATAACTGAAACAGAAAGCAAGCTGTTGAATATTCCCACCATCGGGATGTCTTTAGGAAAATACTGCTGTGCTGTATTAAAACTACTGGTTTACAGTGTACTGGCATCACATGAAAATATTCGAAACTTCGTGAGTCAATGTATTTTCCAAACGACTATACCAAAACAATATGGCTGAGTGAACATTCAAGCAAATAACTTGACTAGAAACGTACAGTCTGATCGTGTACAGCGCACGTTGTAAAATTATGTGGACAACTCATTCTTTTTTAGATTATGATATACCTATAAACTGTCTGTGTCAATGTAGATAGTGCCAATGTAAACTTGCTGTGGTGTGTGGGTATTTTACTACCTGAAAAATAAGCACAAACTCGGAAAAGAAACTCGATTTCCATTAAAGAATAAACACGTATTTTCCAGTTAGTACAAGCTGACAATGGAATATGTGGTTATAATAAATCAAACATATAGTTTTAGTTCTCTTAAGCCATTTGTATTATTGTGTATATATTAATTAAAATTACTCTTACTAATGGACTGTACTACAAACAATAATGGACTGTACTGTACTACAGCAACGTAGCCAAAGTCGCCCCCCTCCGCCAAACTATTGCCCCCCCCCCCTTGTGAAAATTCTGACCAGTACAAACATGTGCATTATATAAAAAACGTTCATTGTACTATATATATTATTCATGGGATAGTGTTAGAGTCCAAATACATTTTCACATAAGAAACAAACTTTATTAGAACTAGTGAGCTCAATGTCAAACAGAAACATCGACTCAACATGAGGGGATAGGACGTAACTTTGGGCAAAAGTGCAGAAATACAAATTAATCCAGTTCATATAGAGATCTTTGATTCAATCACTGGATTTGATCAAGGCATCATGGGTAAGCTTCGAACCTGTCGCCCCGTCCGCCCTTTTCGAATGAGCACATGCTTTGTTACAGTAACGCGATATAAGTATCTATAAGTACGAACCATTTTCATCTAAAATAACCTTTCAAGGTGAGTTGTATTGTCTTCATTGTTAATATCTTTTTGTTTTTATGATTGCTTGTAATTAATAACTACTAGGAATCACGATTAGACGTAGTAAACGCTTTTTTTTCATTTGCATATTTTCACGGTATGTGGCCATGCGGCGGCAGTTGTACTCGGAATCCGTGTTCGAAATTGTAGTGCCAACGATAAATCCACGTATTGTACAAGTCTTCAGATATAAATTTATTTTAATGATAAAGATCTTATTCCTTTTAGACGAGTCAAGAACACCAAGGAGCTTCAGGTATGTTTTTCGTATATTTTAAAGAATTTGTGTTTTAGCCTTATTAAATGTGCATTTTACATATGGCATTGCCGGGTTTTTTATTGTTTTTGCTTATCCAAAACAGTAACAAATAAGAATAAAAAATAATTGATTTCATCTCTCTCTCAGAAAAATCAGGTAAAGAAGTAAGGATTCGCAAGGGATGGTTAGGATGCTGAGTCTGTATATGATGGAATGACGAAGAAAACGTGCTTGGCCGTCAGCATGAATTTGAGCACGGAATACCTCTGACCCTTGCCCTGTCCGACATCAAAAATCTTGATCGAAATTCCTTTATTCCTTCTTTTTAGAACAAATAAATCTTCTAGTGATTTGAAAAAAAAATGAAAAAAAATGTCCAGTTGTTTCAAGAAACTGGAATTTGCCATTTAGATATAGATGTTCCTATATCACATTCTGCCATACAAATTACCAAAAGGGATAATATCAAAATCCTTCTCCAACTAACATAAAACCAGCATACAGGACATATTAAGAAGCGTTTCCCATAACAATATATAAACATCCTGTACCATTATTTAATTAAACAACAAAAGGCAAATCACAGGTGAATTTTTGAAGTCAAAGCCAAAGGAACAGCCATAATCAATGGCTTTTTCTCTTGCTTGTGGTACTTTGTAGGATGTGTAAGAATATATAGGTATATACGAGTGTGAAAGAGAAGATTCTGTGGATTATTTTGATACCAATTATTGCCATGGTTACTTTATTATTATTCTAGCTTGCCGAGTCTTCTTCCGGGCATTCGCGCTAGTTACGAAGTTTCAAAGGAAGTCGCTAAAATACACAAATTTCGGCTAGTTATATCATATCTTTTTTGTTTATGCTCTGATTTTTTTCGTTATTGTGTGATTTGAAAGATAAAGTGTCCATTTACAATCGTATGTTTTTGTTTTTTTAATAATTGCGCAATGAAATTGTAAAAATGCCGTGGAAAAGAGCAACACAATACACCAACCATGTTGCCATGACATTCAGTGTCTTAACACTGAACATTGCAACATGTGACATGATTATGGCTGTCAGCAGTAGGTGGTATGCTATCAATTTTAAATTAGACTAAATCATTTCTGGCAAATGTTTTTGTTATGAGAAATGAAATCAATATTGCAGGTGGAAAAAGGAAACATTTCCTAGTTCATTCAATATTGTAGAATGTTGTTTCATAGTGAAAAAGAGAGATATTCCTTGAAAATTTGTCTTCATTGGAATACACCCTTTTGATATTTATGTCACAACTCCTTCCTTGTCCAGGAAACCTTTTGTTCATGAATTTATATTTTTTATGAGAGTGTGGCTTCTAGACCAGAGGGGTATTTGTGATTTAATTACCTAAAGGGTGTATTGAGATGGGTGAAAGTAAAAATATAGTTATAGATGGTGGTCATGATCTTGCTTAAAAGGACAATATGCTCTTAAATGCAACAATATTTTACTTGCTGTATTTACATTTTAGAGCATTGCTGTATAAAAGTAAGAGAAATCTTACTGTTTATAAAACTTATTTTTGTTTTTCCCAAGGAAGCAAAACGGCTCACAATACTCAGGAGTGGTTTTCACCAATCTCACCAGCATGGAAAATAGCTCTAAGGGAATATCTTTATATCTCGATATATTTCACCATGAAATGGATGTCTAATACTCCGCCACAGAATAAAGACATACAGAAGTGTAACTTCCATTGCAAAACCGTAAGGCGCTTTTTACCGAAATAGCTGGCGGCCATGTTCTTAGCAAGTGCCCTAAAGAGAGGCATTCACCCCCCTGGAATATTAAATTTTCAATATGTTTTCAGGGGGGTGACTGCCCCTCTTTAGGGCACTTGCTAAGAACATGGCGGACTGAAAAAATCCCTTACGCACTTTTAATAAGAAGATACACTTCTGTATGTCTTTATTCTGTGACTCCGCTTTCCGCTGAGTCAACGACTTATTGCTGACAGCCATAATCTCGATTCATGCCGAAACAATGCAGGGCATTGCGGAGCTGGCCAAATTTCCGCACCATGCCATTTTATATGCCAACTGAGAGATCAGCAGAACGACTTTCAGTCGGAGTCCAGCTCCGATTCTACGGCCACTGTGCACAAGCCATCCCTTATCTTCCTCGCCCCATCGCTTTTCCCATCATTTCCAACATTATGGCGAACAACTTCTTGTAAAACTACGTCAATAGTCCTAAATTTTCTACACGGGTAAAAATTGATCATGTTGTTCGGCGTTGTTCAAAACAGGAGTGAACAATGTTGTGCTGCACACCGTGAACAATATTGTTAACAAGTTGTTCAACCATCAGTACTGTTGCAACTTGTTAACATGATTGTCAACAAGTTGCAACAATATTGATGGTTCAACAACTTGTTAACAATATTTTTCACGGGGTGCAGCACAACATTGTTCGCTCCTGTTTTGAACAACTTGCATCAACATGATGATTTTTACGCGTGTACTCTGTTTGCACGCCATTTTGAAAGTTTCGCTCTGTATACTTCATGTAACTCGCATGTTTTGAATACTTTTGCAACGAAAACCGCTGGCCACCGCGTATCGCATATTGGCGCTTTTGGATGCATTTTTGACAGGCGTGGATTGCTACCTGCATAGCATTTCTACGGTGCAAAAAGCACAATCGTCAAACAGAAAGTATTTTAATTGCATTGTGCAGGGCAATGACAGGCCTGTGAGAGCAGGGGCTGAACTTTAAGGGCAGAACTTTAAGCGCTAGCTGCAACAAAAAGTCCAGTTAAAATGAGAAATTTCAAGCAAGCTGACACATCTGATGATATCATCATTACGAAATGGACGAAGATGACCCCATTGGAAAAAGATAAAATCACATTTCCATATTCTGACGAATTGGCCGCTAGCACAAGTGGAGAACCAACTAAATTATCTGCTATCCGTAACCTCGCTGGTGAGCAACTGATAAGCGTAAGAGGTGAAGCATCAAGCATATCTGGCATCAAAATGGCTACAACACAGTATTCAGGCAGCACCCAAAAGCAAGAAGTAATAATCAGAGATCCGACTGCTTGTGTAAAGGTAGTCCTTTGGGGAAGGTATGTCAATTCCCTTGAAATCAATAAAACATATCTTTTCAAAAATCTCAGGGTGAAAGTCACCAAATATGAACGCTACCTGAATACCCCACGTAAAGATGACTTTACTGCGACACAATGCCAAGAGTTTGATACCCCTCTTGTGCCACTGGAAGAAGATGTAAACACCATCCAACTTTCTCTGGCTCTATTCTTGGTGTACAGAAACCTCCAAATCCCTTGCATGCGTAGGTTGTCATAAAAGGTCTGTCAATGTAGAGGGAAGTAAAGCTGTGTGCCAGGCATGTGACCTTTCCCAGATCGCAACACGATGTCCCAGCTTCTGGTCAGTCCGATTGTTAGTGAAACCAGATGAATCGTCCAAAACTGTCCGTCTGATTCTTCCCAGTCATATGCTAGAGAAGTTTGTTGCCATCACTGGTTCTTTAGTGGAACTGGACACCATTTCAGAAGAAGATTTGGTTTTCTCAATATTTGATTGCTGTTGCAAAAAAATTGATTTTACATATGACAACATTGGAAACGAGATTACTAACATATCACTTAGTACCATATATTACATGGTTGCATGCCTTTGTTATTTATGCTCCTCATAAAATTTGTGCTTCTCAAATGTTCTAACGCACTATGGACTTCAATTCAAATTAGTTTGTATTGACTTTGTGTTAACATTTCAAGACTTATGTCTATTATTATAGTATGAAGCACTATTATGGACTTCAACTTAGATTACTATTAGCCATTGATATTAGATATTTAGGTTATGTTTAGGTTATGTTTTAATGCAGATTGCAGTATAAACATTTAAACAAATATTAACATTTGATTTCAAGCTGGTTAACTGTATAAAAAACATAGAACTTGCCGTCTTGCTCAGTCAACCTCGTTTAAATTTCCAGCCTATTTATAGAGGCCCAATTAAGAGGTTGACTCCGAGCTTGACAAATGTGTAGCCTGCGTGGCAGGCTCAAGGGAGAATATGAGCCTGTCTCCTGCAAATATATATACGGCAGCACTTCACTTGCGATAGTAACTTCTAGTTTTAAAAATAAACATTGTCTAAGCCAAGAAAATCAAAACTGAAGTCTTATGTAAATCAGGACAAATCTTTATCCGATTTACAAACATTGATTAAACATTCAATTCTTTTTTATTTTCCTCGTGAATTATATTAATGAATTTTTTAAGTATAATATAATATATTTATACATAATGATGCAACGCTATCATATTTTATCAATATTACAATAAATATTACAATTCGTATTACAAACACCGCGGAAAAACGTCTGCGCATGCACCAAATTATGAAAATATGGCGGGGAATTTGAATATCAATTTCTAAAACAAAAACATGCTTATTAATTGGTCAAAAATTAGTAAAACAAACGAGAAAATATAGCAAATGGGTAGACT